ACTCATTTGTGAGTCATGAAATCAATTTCGTGGGGTTTTGCTTTTAATGAAAAATAACAGAATCAAGTAGAAAATTTTGTAATAAATATTATTTTGTAGAAAATTATAGTAAATACTATTTCTTGAAACTTCTATTTTGTTTTTGTTATTGCTGTTGTTATTTTTCTTTGTAATTCTCACCTGAGGATATGTTTTTAGTGATTTGGGACAGAAAGGAAGAAAACGAGAGAGAGAGAGAGAGAGAGATCAACATCGATGTGAGAAAGAAACGTCAATTGCTTCCCATACGTGCCCTGACTAGGGTCGGAACCCACAACCTGAGTGTGTGCCCTGAACGGGAATCTAACTGCCACCTTCTGGTGTCCCGGATGACACTCCAACCAACTGAGCCACACCACCCGGGTTGAAACTTCTGGGGTTGTTTTGTTTTGTTTTGTGCGTTTTTTAATCATCACCTGAGGATATTTTTCTATTGGATTTTAGAGAGTAGAAGAGAGAGAAATATCAATGTGAGAGAAACACATCGATTGATCGCCTCCCTCACACACTCCGACCACAGCCCAGGCCGGGGAGGAGCCTGCAACCAAGCATGTGCCCCCAACCGGAATTGAACTCAGGACCCTTTGGTCCACAGTATGATGCTCTATCCACTGAGCCAAACCAGCTAGGGCAAAACTTCTGTTTTAATTTATGTTTGGGAGTCCTGTGACTTGATATAAATCATACCTATAAATGTAGATTGTGATCAAAACGGTATCACAACTCCCCACTGAACTCTGACCTGAGCCCTTGCAGGGTGGGTGAGGCTCAGGGTGAGGACGAGAGTGGAGGGGCACAGTCTGAGCCAAAGGACAGAGTGGAGTAGCCGGTCGGGGGAAGGGAGGGTTCAGGAGAGGGGGTTTGCGGTGACCACCCTAAAGCTGGGTGTGACTGTGCAGGGAGGGTGGTAGGTGGATTGGATGGGATGTGTCTACGTCTCCAGAAAAGGGTGTGTGGGGTCTAGAACAGGTACTGTATGTAACTCAAGGAGGAGTCAGGAGGGAGATGGGCGTTTCTTTCCCAGCTCCCTGGTGCCTGAGGAAGGAGTTCTCAGCCTTTTGCAGCAGGGAGGTGACCTGATAATTTGATAAAGTACTTTGTGTGCTTCCCTGTCTTCCAGTGTTCATCAAACGGGAACATGCCAACAGCATCCTGCACAGGGTCCGGAGGGCAAATTCATTATTTGAAGAGATGAAGAAAGGAAACCTTGAAAGAGAGTGTTGGGAAGAGACTTG